ATTAACCCTCATTAATCTCTATGCTTAGTTTTCTATTAACAGCTTCAGAGTGATTTTTGGTTTTATTTTTATTGCTATAGGTATATATTATAATGGTAAAATAAGTAAATTAATAAAAGGCTTCGTGCCCAACCTATTTCATTAACGTCAGACAATCCATAATATTGTTATAAAACTATTATGTTTAGTATATGTATATTGTATATATACATACTTTTATACTGTTAGATATTTGTTCATAGATAAATGTAAAATTAAAAGAGCTGTATTAAATATTAATATAATTTTATCCTTGTGTCCATAATATGTATTTGCACCACTCGGCCGTATTTAAATGACTTCATGTCCATTTTTCCTTGTTTGRTTAAGATGGAACCGCTGAATTTCTTCACATTGTATAAAATGTATACTGTATATACTATAATACAGGGTTATTCAAAATGATTCATCCSATTTAAAATGGCTATAAAATGGTTAATAATAAATTGTATCTTATCAAACTATATACCAATTAAAAGAGGGTATTACTAAGTTTTATGATATCATTAATTCATTATTTTAAAATAATCGCTTAMGGTGATAAGTCAGTTTCCGCAAATATGTTGACCGGACAGAACAAAACATTTGGTATGTTGCATTTTTCAAAGTGTGAATCGATAATAACTGTGAAACGAGATTTTCGCCGTCTTTACGGGTTCGATGCACCAACTACTGAGAGCTTACGTCGATATGTACCTATAAGCAGTTTGAAGAAACAGCTAGGGTGTGTGCGCAAAGAAAAAAGCACAGGCTGACCTAGTGCATCCGATGATAACGTAGAACGAWTTAGAGAGTTTTGTATGTAGTGTAACCAAAGCAGTTCACATGGAACATTTATAGATACAGTTAATTAAACTTGACATATTTTTCTTTTATTTAATGTATAACATATTGTTCTAAACCTAAAAAATAAAATAATGTAAGCACTTTAAATCGGATGAATCATTTTGAATAACCTTGTACTAAAAAAAAATTGGGATGCTTTATGAAAGTAGACCTCCTTAAGTTAGATGATTTTTGATGAGAAATTAGTGATAAGTTTTTTATATGTGTACTTAAAATTTACTATAAATAGAGAAGACGATGACGATGATGAAATGAATGTGTTTATTAGATTTGAGAGACAAGTTAGAAGTAAAATAAAAGACTTTACCGAATTAACTGTACTCAACATGACAGACAAAGACTTCAAAATTTATTTTTATTTTACAAGAGAGAGTATTGAGGTTATACACATATAACTAATGCCTATTTAATTTATTTATATTTTTATTTGATAAGTTTTGCTAGGTACTTATAATGTGTTGTTTTTTTTAGATTTAAATATTCAATTTTGGTCCTCTATTATTGTCAAATTCAAAATTCAAATGTTCCATTGAAAAAAAAATATTTGTGTTTTTATGGTATATGACTGACTGTGAAACACATTGGTTAGTTTACATTAAAACATCTAAAAATATTAAATTAATAAAGTAAGAAGTTAAATTATTTACTTTTAGAAAAATAGCAAATCAATTTAATCTATCTGATAGCACCAGTCATGATGTTATTATAAATTGTTTGCAACAAATGAACTCCCTTAATAGAGATTTTATACAATGACCAAGTGGCCAAAACATTGGAAATGTTACGTCATATGTTTAATATGTTGCACATATTGAATGTGGAAACATTCAATGCATTATGGCAAACTTCTTTTCCAAATGTTATCGGAGCTGTTTATGGCCGAGATATTGCCATATTAGCACCTTGAGAGAAGAGAAGTGTGATGCCAAAATTAGATAGGAATATGTTTTACAACTGTAAATAAGTTCCATCAGTATTGATCCAGATTTTTATAAGTTTTTATAAATAAAAAAAATGCATTTAAATACATTTAACATAATATTGCTTTCCAATCTAAATTTTTCCATTCCTCTTATATTATATGAATTAATTAAAATAATTTTTATAACGAAATATTACTTTTACTTTCTTGATTTTTATCAAGTAAGTATGGTAATTGAAATAAAAAAAGTCTGAATGTTTAAAACTTCAAGAATTTGTGTTGAGTAGGAAAATTATAAAAATATAACTCAGTAGTAGTGAGTAGGAGGGTATTTAAGCTAGCTTTAATATAAAATATTAATGAGAGAGATCCAATATCAATTGTTAATTCACTACAAAGTTTTATACTTGGAAAGGATAAAACACATTTCTTAAATATTGGTCGATAGTTCATAATATAGAAGTACAGGAATATACAAAATTATGAATAAAAATATATATTTTATTTTATTTACCCACTTAACATTGCATTAAGTGCTAATGTTAACTAAATTCGGTACCATCTAARATTGTTATGTGCTGATTTTTGCTAAATTCGGTAAAGGTAGACTATTACAGTTAAATATTTTGGTTGAACTAGTTTTTACTTATTGTAACTAGGTAGTACTAATTGGCTACTAATGTAGTGTGGTCTTYCATTACTTTTCTTATTTCATATATGGTATGCGTCTACCCAATACAAGTTTAACCTTTTTTGAAATATTTATAAACTTTATAAAGAAATTAAAAATCTAGAAAATTTACATGCAGATCTCTGACTTGACAAGCGTTTTTATTTCAGGGAATTGTCAATGTAAACCATRTAGAATATTTAATAAGATATAATATAATGAAGTTATCTTAAAGGCCGATTAAAGAACAAAACACAGTTTGTCCTAGTATCCTACCAAAATATTAAAAACTTGTCGCATTAGATTGATTTAAAAAAAAAAAGTGGGTAAGTGGGTACCGCTCTGCCGTACAGAGGTTGTCGAGTGGATCACTGTAAAGGATATATTATATTATATGAATTCAGTGATAAATCATTACATACAAAATATGACTCTGTCAGCCTATATTAAGTAGGTATATTTATTGATATTATTGTTTTAAAAGTAATATATTTTACTATAAGTAATACAAATACGTTGAATACAATTTTGCCGAAAACATTGCATTTTAAAATGCCGTTGTGTATTTAAAATATAATCACATACTTAAACAGTTTCAAGAGCCTACAAATAATATTATTAAATTGAAACRAAATAACTAGTAACTAGTAAAACTTCCTGGTTTCAATAGTGTACACTGTACAGGACTACTCACAAAAATAAGTCAAAATAATAGGAGTTATTATAAATTTACCTTTTGGAGGAGATATGGACTGTTTTTTTCCTAAAGGTATGATTGCTTCATCCATTAACTTATAATACTAATATTTATTTGCATTGTAGCCTGATTTTTTTGATAAATCATAATATTTTCTATGTTGAGTGCTTTAGTCTACACCATTTCTCATCACAAGTTTTAGGCGAAACGAATAGCACTTTTCAGTCATTTAATTTGAAATTAGCTCCCAGAGTTTAGATTTTTTACCTTTTTTTTTTTCTGATAAAAATTGAGTACTGTACGAGACACGCAATGTTATAAGAAACTTGGTAGATTCTACTGACCAGGTTCTGTCCATAAAAATAAATAAAATACATTTAAGACAAATTAAATATTTTATTTCAATGTTTTTATTGATCAGTGTGGAATATTCAGTATCGCAAGTATCAATAAAAGTGTTAGGTGTCAAATGTCCAAATATCAATTAAAGCATAACAATAATTCACATAAATTAGTTTTTTTAAACATATAATATATATTGTAACTTAGGTAGGTTATTTACCTTTATCTTCTTCAACGCTAATGTCATGATTTACTTCATTAGGAATTTCTGCATATATTTGTTGGATAATCTGAGTCAATACGGGTTCTTCTTCATACATTTCTATAAGAGTATTTTTTATTAGGATTAAAAGCTTTGTTAATGTCAGTTCCAATAGGCAATAAATAGTAAACATCTATTATAAATTACAAATTTACCTTAAAAAAAACTATCCATATTTGTTTCAGACATCTGCCATTGAGTCATTTCATGTGAATACTGAATACTGATAATAAATTATAATAATGTTTTTAATTCAAATARCTAGAACATTGAATATTGTAAGTTCAAAGTTGTAAACTTATTTTTTGTCTTAGAAATTTATTGCATACYGTTAATTTATGTACTGTCGTCTGTCATAGTAATAACTAGTACCTACTACCTAGCTTAAATGTTAATAATTTTATATTTATATATTTTCGTTTTTCAATATTTTGAACTTGTTATTAGTGATAACTGATAAGACGTTAAAATTAGAGGGGTAGGCATCGGCATCAGTATAACTATCCATATCATCGATATGGTTCAGAAAAATGAAACCACTTTTATAAAATAGTTCCACCGGTTTRTAAAACGAATTTCTTAAATTTCACCGGTTTCAATGTTAAAGGGAAATATACACCGGTTTGGGCAAACTATTTCTAGATGATTCGATAGCACTATCACGATATCGAGTATCCCAAGAGCACGGTTTAAAATATATCTTATATATCTTATAAGGTATATCTTAAACCGTGCCCAAGAGTAACTTACTAATATCGTGTGGAATTTATTGTGAATAGTTTTACCGAACCGTTAAATCCGTGCGTTCCTTGATAATTATGATAACTCATCTGATTTTCCAACTGATGAAGCATCAGATTGATAAACAAGGAACACAAATTTTATATATCATTGCAGATTATGTTATCAGGCACTTGTTATCATATGTATATTATATAATATTTATCATGATAATTATATAATAAATAATAATGTATTTATGTAATTTTATTTATTTATTATTTAACAAAAATAACAAAATTGTTGATAAAACAAACACGACCTTATCACGTTAACGTCTTCTTATCATGTCATCGCCTAGCGCACCAGCCTATTTAGTTGTAGGTTTGCTATCCGATACATCGAGTAGCAATCAGATTGTCCATCTGATTTTTATAATTAATCAAGGAACATCAAAAAACATCAGATTACTACACGGAATCCGTTTATGTTTGAGACGCGTTTGGGTTGCACAAACCGTTCAAGAAAAATATATTGGTATTAAGCATGATACCAATGTTAGGGTAGAATTTTAAGCTTATCAGAACCCATATATTATTATCATGTCAACAGCTGTTTGAACTTTTAATTGAATAGGTACAATAACAACATTGTAAATTTCTACAATTTGTTGTTCTCTGTAGTCTGTACTTCATCCATAGAATACAGATTAGACTTCATCAGTCTTCGGTGTTTTATTTTCAGTGCAGTACTAATTTTATTATTTTAGACAGTGTTTTCACGTACGTWTTTTATTACAAAAAATATTATAAAAATTGTCTGAAATATTAAACGAGAATCAGTCGAAGAATAAACGGCAGAGAAGTAAAAACTTTAATGAACGTGAAAAAGAACTAAAACTACAGGGCACAGTGACTGTAGATTTATCGAATGATTAAAATTTAAAGAGCCGAAATCGGCCCATTAGTTTAATAAGCTGGTAACCTATATTTTAACGCCCCAATAAAACTATTGAACGTTTAACGAATGAATAAAATTTTAATCATTCGTTAGGGCGCTRACAGATCGTTAAACGTTTATCGAACGTTCATGTAACCCGGCATTAGAGTAATAAAACTATTATAAAACTATCATTGTTTCCTCTTCTGTCCAACTGTCCAAGTCTTATAGAGTATTTCTATCTATTGAGTAGCCGTTTAACATTTCTTATTCAAATTCCTATCGGATAAAATTAGCCTGTCTATTATTTCATTGCTCCGAAAACAGTGTCCTCGAATCACGATGACCCATCGAGCCTATCGAGTTGAAATGGGCAWCAAACGAAGTTAGCAGTTAACATCTTATCAAGTAATCTCTATACTTGGTTTGGAATATCTTCTGATGCTCAACATGCAAACTTAAATATTCAAATACTGAATACTGATGCTCGACCAAGAGATTGGCTGTTTGAATAAAGTATACGTATTATAAAACATTTGAAATCTACCTACTAGCTTCTACTAACGATTTATATCAATGGTTCTAAAGTAAAGTTATTTAGTCATATGAAATAATGATGGGTTAATCAGACTGTCWAGTAATGTTATCAAAAAGGTTTAAGAATTTATGAGGTTTTATACCTATGGTTTTTGCAAAATGGTGTTAGATGTATAGGGACAATTTTTATGTTTGTGTTTAATGAGATGTCTAATATTTCAAATTTGTAATTTGTTAAATTTTTGTAGGTTTCATGATGACACACTGCAACAAGATATTGGTTTATGATGTTCATACTTTTATGAATATGTACTATTAAGATATATTTATCAGCTATTAAATTGGTCCTGGTGTAAGTAATATCTTCCAGTCTTGTGTCCAGTGTAGTTTCATTTGTGATATCCAGAATCTTGGTGACCAATTCCGATGCTTTAAAAAATATTTTAAAAGCTCCAGTTGCCCAGAACATTAGGTATATTATATCCTATCGATTAAATTAAAACTTAATGATTTTGAACATTTAATATTTTTATTTAATTTGATTTATTTACATACTTCACAATTATAAATTACTTATTTTTCAGGGAATCTGTTTGGATCAGTTGTTAAAGTGTATTACTGTTGTCCAAGTAATATGAATGTTTGATGTGTCTATTGTGTCTGTCAGATAAATGTTGCAGCAGTATTGTTTTTTATATAATACAATATTTTATCCTTTTTTCTGTGACARTAGTATAGACATTCCAATGTACTTTATTTCTAAGTAATGACTTTCTAAAGAAATTTTAATAAATTGTTATAAATAAAACTGAATTTCAATGCCTCAATATCTGTATTATACATGATATTATGTACAAATAGCTATACTGTATATTTTATTTAACTTTTTAAATTGTATTCAATTTTATCTAGATTCTATAATATGATAATTTATTTTTATACCATTTAATATAAACTAGTGTATTTTTATTTGTTGTATCTTATACCTTAATGCATGTAATATATAATAAATAATAGTTACAGATTAGTTTTAAATTTAATTGATACAACATACATATAAAGGTTTTCAAACTAAGTGATAATTTTATTCATATATTAAAATTAAGAGAGGATTGTTCTATTAAAGATAATATAGCTAAAACAATATTTGATCCTTTTGAAAATATTTTTAATACTTTGATGGTTTCTTAAA